GCATCTTCACAGTTCTTTTATTGAGAGTAAGTTAAAGTGCTGTAATATTCATGTGTAATGTTTTATATTTTAAACACAGTAATATAATAATGTATAATGATTTTGAAATGACAGTAACAAGTCATAAATAAAACATTACAGTTTTAAAGTCACTTGCCAACAGTGAAATCCACATCAGAAATTGACTTAAAATTACCTTTTTGTGTCATTTGATTTACTCTAAAAGTCAGATAATTCAGATTTCTAGATATTACAATAAACTTTGCTGTAATTGTTGCACGTCTTTATCCTTTTCAAATATTCTTGTATCAGAACAGAGTTTAACTTCACTTCTCTCCGCTGAACACAGTTGAGTTCTTCACACTCTGATTCTGCAGATGGCCGCTCTGTTTCTGTGTTATTCTTTATTTTATTTTTTTTTACTCGTTAGCCGCCGTGTTTGATAATCCGCCTGTCAATCACACCCTTTGGAGCTCGGGAGATTACACTCTGTTATCAACTAAACGTCTTTGTAAAGTGCTCAGAGTGTGTGGGGTTTGACGGCTGTAATAATAATCACATTTATTTAAAAAAATGATAGATAGAGCCTTTCTAGCAAATATAGACAAGAGGGGGAAGAGTCTTGCACAAAGAGCTGGGATCGAAGCTGACACATTTGGGTTCGTGGGTAAATGCTGTAACCACTGATCCTCGGCCGCGTCGCCTGATCAGCCGCTCCCGTCTACATTCTGTTTGAATCCAGAAGAGTCTGGAACTGAACCACAGAGTGTGAAATCCCTCTGTCCAAACTCCAGACCATCCAGCCACAGCAGCTCATCTGTATCAGGCGTCTGTCAAATGCAGAACAACAAAATATAAACTTCTTTTACCTGAGATAAATCATAGTTTGGTGCTTCGATTGTTGATTCTGTAAAAATCTGCACTGTTCCTCACAGTACAGGTGTAGTACAGGTGTAGTACAGGTGTAGTACAGGTGTAGTACAGGTGTAGTACAGGTGTAGTACAGGTGTAGTACAGGTGTAGTACAGGTGTAGTACTACAGTGTAGTACAGGTGTAGTACAGGTGTAGTACAGGTGTAGTACAGGTGTAGTACAGGTGTAGTACAGGTGTAGTACAGGTGTAGTACAGGTGTAGTACAGGTGTAGTACAGGTGTAGTACAGGTGTAGTACAGGTGTAGTACAGTGTAGTACAGTGTGTACAGTACAGGTGCAGTACAAGTGCAGTACAAGTGTAGTACAGGTGTAGTACAGGTGCAGTACAAGTCTAGTACAGGTGTAGTACAGGTGTAGTACAGGTGTAGTACAGGTGTAGTACAGGTGTAGTACAGGTGCAGTACAGTGTAGTACAGGTGTAGTACAGGTGTAGTACAGGTGCAGTACAGGCGCAGTACAGGTGTAGTAGTGTTCTCGTGTAGTACAGGTGTAGTAGTGTTCTCATGTAGTACAGTTGTAGTACAGGTGTAGTACAGTTGTAGTACAGGTGTAGTACAGTTGTAGTACAATTGTAGTAGTGTTCTTGATTAGTACAGGTGCAGTACAGGTGCAGTACAGGTGTAGTGCAGGTGTAGTGCAGGTGCAGTACAGGTGCAGTACAGATGTAGTACAGGTGTTGTACAGGTGCAGTACAGGTGTAGTAGTGTTCTCGTGTAGTACAGGTGTTGTACAGGTGCAGTACAGGTGTAGTAGTGTTCTCGTGTAGTACAGGTGTAGTACAGGTGTAGTACAGTTGTAGTACAGGTGTAGTACAAGTGTAGTAGTGTTACAGTACAGGTGTAGTACAGGTGTAGTACAGGTGTAGTACAGTAGTACAGTGTACAGTACAGTACAGTGTGTACAGTACAGGTGTAGTACAGTGTAGTACAGTGTAGTACAGTGTGTAGTACAGTACAGGTGTAGTACAGGTGTAGTACAGGTGCAGTACAGGTGTAGTACAGGTGTAGTACAGGTGCAGTACAGGTGTACTACAGGTGTAGTACAGAGTGCAGTACAGGTGTAGTACAGATGTAGTACAGATGCAGTACAGGTGTAGTACAGGTGTAGTACAGGTGTAGTACAGGTGTAGTACAGGTAGTACAGTACAGTACAGGTGCAGTACAGTGTGTACAGTACAGGTGTAGTACAGATGCAGTACAGGTGTAGTACAGGTGTAGTACAGTGTGTACAGTACAGGTGTAGTACAGGTGTAGTACAGATGCAGTACAGGTGTAGTACAGGTGTAGTACAGGTGTAGTACAGATGCAGTACAGATGTAGTACAGGTGTGTTGTACCTGTTTAATTTCCTTTAATACGGTGCCAGATTTGTGTATTGTTCCAGGTGAAAACCCCGTCTAAACACACTGTAAAGAGCCATAATATTTAGTGGAAAAACATTCAATCTGGCAACAACACGAGCCACCAGTGTCACATCAAAACAAGACCAAACAAAAACACAGCAGGAGGCGACTGCAGCAGGAGCAACAAGGATTCATAACGTTTAAAAGAACTCAAGGAGCTGAGGAAGGAGATAAACTCACATTTATGTCAACATTTTGTCGTTGTTGTCGTCTCTCGACTGCAAATTTGATCTGAAGATGAAATCGAACAAATCGTTTCATTGTTAAAACTGAGTTAATTTTGAAATCTGTGAACTGAACTTTGAACTACGTACGTCATGTAGAAAATGAACTTTCCAACTCAGGTTTCTCGGTCCTTTATGTTGATTGTTTTGATGGTTCTGGCTGCTCAGGGTTTGGGCCACTGTGTTTAACTTTTTTCAGTCTTATTTCTCTCTTACTTTTTGCGCTCCAGTTTTCGAATGATTCAGTTTACAAGACTACAACATGCTAACCGCACACTTCCTGATTATCGGCCAATAAAACACTTTATAATTCAATGCAGACAGTACACAGCTGACTTATCTGACCTTTCATTTCATTTAACTTTATTAGTTTCATGGATGAAAGACAAATACAAAATAATCATGTTTCATGCATCAATGTGAATGAAAAGGAGCAGAAAGAAGTTTAGACTTGTAAAATCTGGGCCTGGTCCAGGAGACTAAGGATGGAAATGAGCTTTGGCCACAATCCTGCGTGTTTGTCTCTTACATTATCTTGTCTTTTAATAAACATTGTCCCTTTAATAAATAAATACAAATACAAACACAAATCTGCCCCTTTTCACACAGTTCCAACTGTATTTATAAGCAGCTTATTTAGAACAGTATTAAATACTTGATAATTAACACGAAAGGACAGTTCATACTTCGTACTTTTTTAGCAAACCACATTTCCTTTAAACACTTGAATAGATTTTGAAGCTTTGAGTTTTTCATTCAGAATCTCACATCTTTGATTGAAACATTTTTCCATCACTGTAGTTTTCTAAAGATTTCAGTTCTTTCCTTTCAAATCGATTTAATGTTCACTACTCTCTCATGAGCTGTAATGCTGAGATACAATGAAATGAGTTTCTCCGCTCCTATCCCTTAGAGATAGAGTGAGGAGCTCAGAGTAGAGCCGCTGCTCCTCGGGCATATGTTCCAGATGCCTCCTGGGTGCCTCCATTGGGAAGTATTCTGGGCATGTTCCAAGGGGAGGAGGACACGCTGGAGAGATTACCGTATTTTATAGGCTTTAAATGGTCTATTTTCAAACTTTTTTCACAAATAAACCGCGTGGGACTTTAAATGAAACCCAACAGTGTGATGGGTGAGTGGTTTTGTTTGTTTGTTCGTTCACGGTGACTCTGGGCTTTGTTCAGTTGTGGCGTGTAGGGAGGTGCTGTCTGGAGCCGCTGGATTGTCGGCGTGTTCGCAGTGACTCAGTTGTTCAGTCGTGTCTAGAAGCGGCACGTCGCGCTCGCTTTTTCGGTTCGTTCCTCCGTTCCGTTCCTCGTCGGCGTGGAGTGATGAGTGTGGCTGTGACAGATGCCGTCCTAGTTTAGTTTTACCTTGCCTCCACCCACCTCGGATCCACCCACCTCGGATCCACCCACCTCGGATCCACCCACCTCGGATCCACCCACCTCGGATCCACCCACCTCGGATCCGCGCCTCTAACCAGCCTCACCTGGCCCGCCTGATCAGTGAGGGCTATAAAGCAGCTTCCTTACTTGTTTATTTTTGTGTTACCCTTATCTGATTTTTGTACACCTTTTTAGCACTTTTTGTAATAAATATCCTTCTTTTTTTTTCACCTCGCCATGCTTCCCGTTTTTGTTCCACACCCGGTTTATTTAAACATCTTTTTCAGTTACCGTGCCACCCCCTAGACACCCATGGCACGTAACAGTGGCTGTGGGTGTTTTTCGCTGTGCGGTCGCTGTCTGTGCCGTGTGTGTTTGCGGATTTGTAGTTTACTGAAGTCGTGCTGGGACGCCCGAGTGGATTCGTGTATAAGGGGCTCTGGATTGTGGGGCACGCAGTCGTTTTTTGAGGGGATTGGAGGCTTAAGAGCGCGTCTAATAGCCCAGAAAATACGGTATGTCTCTGGACTGGCCTGGGAACACCTTGGGGTCCCTTCAGAGGAGCTCGACGAAGTGTCCAGTTTGATGGAAGTCTGGGAATCCCTTCTTAGAATAAGCCTCGGATAAGATGGATGAACAGATCATTTTTGAAACATAAAGTTCTACCAGTTCATTGAATTTCATTTTCTTTAATTGTATAAATTTTGGGTTTGTTGAGTCTCTGTCTCCACGAACGCTGACGTCCTCAAGAGCTGCTCATACAATAAACCTGTACTGTGACTTTTTACTCAAATACATGTGGAAAAATCAGAGTTGGGGTTAGACTTTTAAAAAATATTCCTGTGTACTCAGTGTGGGAAGTACAACTACGATTCTGTCCTTGAGTTTCTAACCCCATCACTATAAAACTTCACGGACCTGGTTTCCTAATTCTCCCGTTAAAGCGAACATCTGCTGCGCCGTTTCGCCTCGTTCGCGCCCGACGCTCGTTCTCCGCTCTGAATCTGATAAACGTTGACGTGCGTTTGTTGTTGTCGTTTGTTGTTCCGGCAGACGGTGAAAGGGGGCATTTCCGAGACGAGGATCGAGAAGAGAATCGTCATCACCGGAGACACGGAGATCGACCACGACAAGGTGAGGAGGACTGAAAGGACGGGACGGGGATCGGTGTCCGGCTCCATCATTCACACTCGGGGCCTTTTAGCAGATTACGTTCGGTCATAGCGCCCGCAGATCTCCAGGGGGCGCCGCAGATGATCCTCTTTTACACTGCCAAAAAGAGAAATCTGCAGCGCTTTTCTGGTGGAGATGTTATTGCGAGGAATGTTTCGTGGTATGACTGAGTTGTCTTTCGCTATTGAGACAGTATCAAGGTCAAGTCACAGGCCAGATCTGTGGAGGGGCAACCCTGCTCACTCTATAAATACATGTTTTTCAAGGGGTTTATGAGCAGTTAAAACAGTGCTCTTACTTTATGATATTTAATGCTTAACAGGTTACATCAGAAGTTGGGGTTTGCAAGTCGTAACTGGGACTCGAGTCAGACTCAAGTCACTGTTTTTAGGACTTGAGACTTGACAAAACAGACAAAGACTTGGGATTTGACTCGGACTTGAGGCCTGTGACTTGAGAAGACTCGATGCTTCTCCTTAAAAAAAAAATATGTTTTTGGAAAATACTTTTTACAGTTGATAAATGTGATTCTGAATTTTACAGGAACAAACTGAAACAAACTTCTCTGTTACTTTGGTTGTAACTGAAGTACTGTGATGTAGTATCCTCAAATGTACTACAGTAATACACAGTACAATACAGTAACATAAAGTACAATACAGTAATACACAGTACAATACAGTAACATAAAGTACAATACAGTAATATAAAGTACAATACAGTAACATAAAGTACAATACAGTAACAAAGTACAATACAGTAATATAAAGTACAATACAGTAAGTACATAAAGTACAATACAGTAATATAAAGTACAATACAGTAACATAAAGTACAATACAGTAATATAAAGTACAATACAGTAATATAAAGTACAATACAGTAACATAAAGTACAATACAGTAATATAAAGTACAATACAGTAACATAAAGTACAATACAGTAACATAAAGTACAATACAGTAAGATAAAGTATAAGTACAATACAGTAACAGTACAAAAGTACAATACAGTAATATAAAGTACAGTGCAGACAAAATAACTTGTTAAGCACCTTTTAAATCTTAATTCTTTCTGTTCTGACCATAATGATTCACACTCTCATCAAGTCAGACTTAAAAAGTAAAATTAACATTTCTACAACTCTTATATAAATACTCATATATAAATATACCATGACCTTTTAAGTACAATTTAGTTTAAAATTCATATAAATTACAAAAATCTAAACTTTATTTGGTGCTTTTTTGGTTTAAAGACTTAAAATGACTTGAAGTTCAAAGCAGACGACTTGGACTTGACTTGGACTTATGGGCCGGTGACTCGAGACTCGACTTGGACTTGTCTGTATTTGACTTGAGACTTGACTCGGACTTGAGGTCAAAAACTTGAGACTTGCAAAACAACGGCTCAGTTCCACCTCTGTGTTACACGGTGCAGCTTTAACTTGGGTATAAAGAATCTCCAAAAGGCTGAGCAATATTGCAAAGATTTTATTTTATTTTTTCATATATTGATTGATCTTAATTTTTCGATTTGATTTGCAAAACAAAATTAAAATAACTTTCAGGTAGGAGTTGCCCTTTTTATTTCTATTTCAACTTTCTCGGTGTCTTTAAGACTGGGGTCTCTAACCTTTTTCCTCCAGTGAGCTACTTAAAAAAAAAAACAATACCAGAGAGCCACTCATTTTAGCTGTTGCAAGAAAAGTGTAAATAAAAGAGCCATGACTTTAGATGGGCACAGTTATAAGCCTATAAAACAAAAAACATTTACTTTTGCATAAAGTTAGGAATCAAAATTTGACTCTTCATGACATCACAAGGTAGAACAGAGCATTTTGAGCTTTGGAGATATAAACTAATGACAAAGTGTTAAGTGTCAAACATGTGTGAATGAAACAAAACACAACTCCAGGTCTGTTTGTGACGAGGAAATGACATTATAACATGACTTAAAGGTTGTATAGAGGATTTTCCAAGGAACGAGAAATCCAGCGACTGTTTGTCCTTTTTCAAATGTTGCGCATGTGTGAAACCACCTCCCCTCCCCTACAGCTCCTACGTAGAAACACCTCCTCCCGCCTCCTCTTTACGCCAGGAACAGGTTTGTTTACAGCCGCTGCACATGACTTGTAAACAACTAACTACAGTGTTGGTTAGACAAGACGGAGAAGTGAGGAGCGGGGGGAGCGGGTGTGCGGACATTTCGTTCGCGGACGAGAAGTGAGGAGCAGGGAGAAGAGCGGAGAGAGGAGGGGAGAGGGGAGCGGAGATTCTGTGCCCGGAGAAGTGAGGAGCAGGGGGAAGAGCAGATCGGGCAGCGGGGAGAGGAGCAGGAAAGGGGTGCAGAGAAGGTTGCGCGGAGATTCCGTGCGAATGAACTAGCTACAACACGCAGCAGCAAGCGGACTCTTTCTATGCCTTGAAAATTACGTTTTCAGACATAGGATATCGCTTTCGTGTCCTGAAAAACGTTTGTGTAGCTCTTGGAAATAAAGTACGTTTTCATAATAAGCAGAAGTTTCCTGTCCAGGAGTAATTTGTGGACCAGTGCGTCAGTCTTTAGACCCTGCGTCTGCTTCAGTCGCGCCATCGCTGGAATGAATCTCCAAGAATCACCTTAGTTTGGCTTCGCTGCTTTTCCCCTTGTCTTCTTCTTTCAGCGACCTCAAAAACGGACTTTCTTTTGCGGCGAACTGCTCCTGGATTCTTGTCGCCATTGCAACAAACTTTGTGCGAACTGCGAGGAAGATATAGGTCAAAAAAAGCCGCTAAGAACTGTTGCGTTGGTGGAGTAAACAACGTCTGTGCGTCTGTGGACTGCGTGACGTCGTACGTAAACCACGTACCGGCGGCGCAGGCAAGTCAGTTACACTAGAAACGTAGGGAGTTTGATTGACAGCCTGTCAGCTCACAGATAACGAGGCAGTGTCGTTATCTATTGGCAAATGTTTAGCCCCACCACGTCCAGAGTTGATGAATTTTTATTCTCTTTTTTTTGGTCATCATAATTACAAGGCGACTGCATCTCTATAATCTATCATTGACAATTTGAACAAAAAAAAATCCTCCATACAACCTTTAAAGCTTCACAAGAAACTATTTTGTGTGCTGTAGGAGCTTTAACTGCGCTCCAAATGGAAGCTCCCGTGTCCTCGCCTTCATTCGGGCGGGCTTATGTTTTATGTTGCCGCTCTGAAATTGCGTGAGTGCAGCCATGTAATTTCCCCCCGTGCGAATGGAGCTCGTACATCAGAGGAGGCAGAGAACATGAGAAGAGTCATCCACTGGACCTGGTCTACGCTGCACCTGGTTCCTCCTCTTGAGACCGTACAGAGCTCACATTCTGAACACGAACACAAGAACTGACAAAAAGACAGAAATCTGAACTGACAAAATATTACAAGAATCACTTTTCAGAACATGTTTGTGCAGATCTAAGCAGAATAAGACAGGATATTTTGTTGTTTGTAGAAGAAATTATTGTACGTTTCTTCCTTCTCGATTGGCTGATTGTATTTTTATTGTGATTTCGAGTCGATTACGCTTGAGCTCACAGCCCGAAACGAAATGTGAAATGTGTTTTTTGTTTTGTTTTGCAAGTCTTGTAAATGTGTTTGGATTTGTGATTTGTGTTTTATTTTTTTAATTTCTTGTTTGGTTCCACAGGCTCTGGCCCAGGCCATCAAAGAGGCCAAGGAGCAGCACCCGGACATGTCCGTGACTAAAGTGGTGGTGCACCAGGAGACGGAGATCACCCCAGAGTGAAGGACGGGTCTGAGGAGGTGAGGAAGAGGAGGAGGAGGAGGGGAGAAAGAGAGGAGGAGGGCCTTCACTAAGGAGGATAAGGAATGGGAGCAGAAGGAGGAGGTGAGGAGGAGATGAAGAGGAGGGGATGAGGAGGAGGAGGTGAGGATGGGGAGGAGACAAGGAAGTGAGGAGTAGGAGATGAGGAGGAGGAAGCGGAGGAGTTGATGAGGAGGAGGAGAGGAGATGAGGAGGAGGAGGAAGCAGAGGAGGGGATGAGGAAGTGAGGAGAGGAGATGAGGAGGAGGAAGTGGAGGAGATGAGGGGAGGAGAGGAGAGGAGGAGGGGAAGAGGAGATGAGGAGGAGGAGGAGATGAGGAGGAGGAAGTGGAGGAGTTGATGAGGAGGAGGAGAGGAGATGAGGAGGAGGAAGCAGAGGTGGGATGAGGAAGTGAGGAGGAGGAGATGAGGAGGAGGAAGCGGAGGAGTTGATGAGGAGGAGGAGAGGAGATGAGGAGGAGGGTGGAGGGGAGAAGGAGGAGGAAGCAGAGGAGGGGATGAGGAAGTGAGGAGGAGTTGATGAGGAGGAGGAGAGGAGATGAGGAGGAGGTGGAGGGGAGGAGGAGGAGGAGGAAGCAGAGGAGGGGAGGAGGAAGTGAGGAGGAGTAAGGGCCTTCACTAAAGCTGCAATCAGACTTTAGTGAAGGTCCTTTCCTGTTCCTCCTCCTGTGTTTAGGGAAGGAGGAGGAGAGGAAAAGGAAGAGGAGGAGGTGGGGGGGAAAAGGAGGAGGTGTGGAAGAGGTGGACGAGGAGGAGGAGAAGGAGAGGAGACAGAGGAGAGGAGAGGAGAAGGAGGTGAGGAGAAGGAGGATGTGAGGAAGATGTGAAGAGGAGAGGGGAGAAGGAGAGGAGGAGGAGGAGAGGAGGAAATGGAGGAAAAGGAGGAGGAAATGAGCAGGAGGTGAGGAGGGGGAGGAGAGGAAGAGGAGGAGAAGAGGAAGAGATGAGGAGGAGGAGAGGAGAAGGTGGTGAGGATGAGGGGAAGAGGAAAGGAAAAGGAGGAGGAGAAGGAGAGGAGGCGTAGGAGAGGAGGAGGTGAGGAGGAGATGAAGAGAGTGGGATGAGGAGGAGGAGGAGGTGAGGATGGAGAGGAGACAGGGAGGTGAGGAGAGGAGGAGGAGAAGGAGAGGAAAAGGAGGAGGAGATGAAGAGATGGTGAGGAGGAGGATGTAAGGAGAGGAGATGAGGAGGAGGGTGGAGGGGAGGAGGAGAGGAGGAGGAGGAAGCAGAGGAGGGGATGAGGAAGTGAGGAGGAGGAGGAGGTAAGGGCCTTCACTAAAGCTGCAATCAGACTTTAGTGAAGGTCCTTTCCTGTTCCTCCTCCTGTGTTTAGGGAAGGAGGAGGAGAGGAAAAGGAAGAGGAGGAAGTGGGGGGGGAAGGAGGAGGAGGTGTGGAAGAGGTGGACGAGGAGGAGGAGAAGGAGAGGAGACAGAGGAGAGGAGAGGAGAAGGAGGTGAGGAGAAGGAAGATGTGAAGAGGAGAGGGGAGAAGGAGAGGAGGAGGAGGAGAGGAAAAGGAGGAGGAGATGAGGAGGAAATGGAGGAAAAGGAGGAGGAAATGAGTAGGAGGTGAGGAGAGGAAGAGGAGGAAGAGGAAGAGATGAGGAGGAGAGGAGAGGAGAAGGTGGTGAGGATGAGGGGAAGAGGAAAGGAAAAGGAGGAGGAGAAGGAGAGGAGGCGTAGGAGAGGAGGAGGTGAGGAGGAGATGAAGAGAATGGGATGAGGAGGAGGAGGAGGAGGTGAGGATGGAGAGGAGACAGGAAGGAGAGGAAGAGGAGGTGAGGAGGAGGATGTAAGGAGGAGGAGAATGAGGAGAGGAGGACTGGAGGAGAAGGTGAAGTAGCGGAGGAGGGGGCCTTCACTAAAGCTGCGTTCACACTGTGGTTTCATAAACACACTGAACACTTTTAGTTTGAGCTTTTGTCCTCGAGTCCTGACGCTCTGATCTGAACGCAGCTCAACACTGACACTATTCCAACATCTAAACAAACACACTGAGTTTCCTGCAGCGTGTGCTCCACCTGCTGCTGCTCTGAACCGACTCTGACTCCGCGGACGTTAAACTAAGTGTCCCTGAGCCGCCCTGCAGGAGGTGTGTGTGTGAATCTCCCCAGACACAACTTCAGACGGGAAATGAGGAGGGGAAACAACTAGAACATGGTCAAAAGATCTGAAAAGTCGATTTTGCGGAATTGGTTTGCTTTGAGACACATTTGTGGGCCGTGCTTTGGATTTTAAAAGCTAAATATCAGATCTCAGAGCTCAAAGACTCGTCCCTACTTCAAAAACAACCGTTCAGATATCAGACTTGTTTAGTTTACACCAGGGAGAGAAAAACTGCAAAATCCTGAAATTATGAAAGTTACGCCTGACTCTCTTACTAATGTGCAGTTGCAAATAGAAATCTGTAGAAATGTAAACAAAGGCACTTTACAATTTCAAAAATAACAGCATAAGAATGAAAATGTAAAGAGGTTTTGAGTCCGTGCGTCATTCATTAATTCCTTTTTGACAATAAGAAAACAAGAATATGTTTGTTTTAAAATATAATCACTGTTGGGTTTGAAAGTTAATTCTGGATCAGAACACACGCCCAAATATTTGACAGACGTTTTCTTGCTGTTGTAGAAATTTATGTTCACATCAGAAGATTGGAGTAAATGACGAGTACCAATACAGTAAAATAAAGTACAATACAGTAAAATAAAGTACAATACAGTAACATAAAGTACAATACAGTAAAATAAAGTACAATACAGTAACATAAAGTACAATACAGTAACATAAAGTACATACAATACAGTAACATAAAGTACAGTAAAATAAAGTACAATACAGTAACATAAAGTACAATACAGTAATATAAAGTACAATACAGTAAATAAAGTACAATACAGTAACATAAAGTACAATACAGTAATATAAAGTACAATACAGTAACATAAAGTACAATACAGTAATATAAAGTACAATACAGTAAAATAAAGTACAATACAGTAACATAAAGTACAATACAGTAATATAAAGTACAATACAGTAACATAAAGTACAAAAGTACATAAAGTACAATACAGTACATAAAGTACAATACAGTAATATAAAGTACAATAAGTACATAAAGTACAATACAGTATAAAGTACAATACAGTAAATAAAGTACAATACAGTAACATAAAGTACAATACAGTAACAGTACAACAGTAATATAAGTACAATACAGTACATAAAGTACAATACAGTAAATAAAGTACAATACAGTAATATAAAGTACAATACAGTATATAAAGTACAATACAGTAAATAAAGTACAATACAGTAATATAAAGTACAATACAGTAACATAAAGTACAATACAGTAAATAAAGTACAATACAGTAATATAAAGTACAATACAGTAAATAAAGTACAATACAGTAACATAAAGTACAATACAGTAATATAAAGTACAATACAGTAACATAAAGTACAATACAGTAATATAAAGTACAATACAGTAATATAAAGTACAATACAGTAAAAAACAGATGGAGAGATTTTTTCATATTACGTTTTAGGAAGTTAATTCACAGCCAGTTTTGGACTGAACTGAAATCTATCTGTAAATAGTTTTGGAGCCGAGATAAGTTGGGGCATGAAAAATAGATAACAGTATTTATCTGCATGTAAATAAATTTGACAGTTTGTGCACACTTGAGACAAATCATGAATAAAAATAGAAAATAAGAGGGGACCAAGAGCAGAACCCTGTGGTACACCTTTTTCTATGATGCATGGACCAGATTGTGAATCTTTAAATACAACAAACTGACATCTGTTTTCATTGTTCGGCAAGTGACTTTAAAACTGTAATGTGTTATTTATGACTTGTTACTGACATTTCAAAGTGATTTGTTACATTATAATATTACTGTATTTAAAATGTAAGGTATTACATTACTTTTACATTACTTTTAAGTTACTCTCACCAAAATAACTATGAAGATCCTGAACTTTTGCGCTGTATATGGACTGAACCAGGACTAAACCAGAACTGAACCAAGATTAAACCAGGACTAAGCCAAAACTCAACCAGAACTCAACCAGGACTGAACCAGAACTGCACCAGGACTAAACTAGGACTAAACCAGAGCTGAACCAGAACTGAACCAGAACTGAACCAGGTTGGAGCGGAGTTCTGCGTCGGTCCTTTCGCTCGCGGTCACCTGACGGTCTACATGGGCGCATCTCCGGCGTTTCACCGCTGCTGATATCGCGATGATTTTAGCAAATTTGTATGAAGAAAAACCCACCACTTCAATCCAGGTTAAAAAAGCATTGTGTTACTCACATTTGTACCGAGTAAAATATTACACTTTTTTTCCCTGTAACGTTGAACATTACTGCGTTACAGCAAAAAGCAACACATTACAGTAATTCGTTAAATTGTAAAAGAGCATTTCTATTTAGTTTGTCCATTTTGGTTCTGGAGACAAATAATGAAGAAAATAGTTGTTGTTTTTTTTGCTTATTTTTGGTTTTATTTTGAAAAATGAATGAACGAATGATAGATATAATAATAGATTCTTCTCCCGTTTGAAAGACTATAGTCCCTGCTCTGACAAAAAATTGCCGTCATTGAGAATTTATTTTTCACCCATATCGCCCAGCCCTAGTTTGTGTTTACATTTACATAGATTGTGTCTGAGATTGTGTGAAGCCTGACGGAGGCGCTGGAGGAGGCAGAGGGAACGCGCTGTTCCTGTACCCGGTTCACCCTCTCTCCGTGTGGGTTCACCTTCTCTCCGTGTGGGTTCACCTTCTCTCCGTGTGGGTTCACCTTCTCTCCGTGTGGGTTCACCCTCTCTCCGTGTGGGTTCACCTTCTCTCCGTGTGGGTTCACCTTCTCTCCGTGTGGGTTCACCCTCTCTCCGTGTGGGTTCACCCTCTCTCCGTGTGGGTTCACCTTCTCTCCTCCGTGTGGGTTCACCCTCTCTCCGTG